AATTCGGAGTAACATTAAATAGTTATTTACTATGTACACGTATATATGCAATGCCATTTGATCATGCCAGTCCATAAATAGATAGCTCTTTCACTTTCAGGGATGGTTATTTAGCTTAAGAGGGCAAAGAAAAGAATATTTTAAAACATTGGAAATACGACAAGGGCAGTGCTCAAGTCAATTTAACAGACATCGAATGTAATGGCCAATCGAATGTAATGGTATCAGAGTCATTTCGAATGTAATGGTCTTTCTAATTGAAAATATCAGACATCGAATTAATCATATGTAATTGCAAGGATAGAATTTTCGCTGGTACTTAATTGCAAGGGTAGAATTTTCTGTGATGATTATTTCTTTGCATTTACTTTCATTTGTTAATCAGTTGGTGAGTTGTTGACTTTAGTTACCTCATGACATAAATAGATACTTGACACGAATATTATCCCATCACTTCTATATTGATCAAAATGTCAAATAATATTAAATTGTTACTAGACACGTGTACGCTATTGCTCAACCATTTGATCATGCCAGTCTATAAATAGATAGCTCTCTAGCTTTTTTAGCTTTCATAGATGATTCTTTCGCAAAGAGTGCAAACAAACAATATCAAAAAAAATATGGGGTTTCACCTGTCGATTCGCATGCTCTCCAAACTACTAGTTCTGCTGCTGTTTCATCTTTTGGCTGCTAACTTTGTATACTCCTTGCAGCAGCCGTCTTGCCATGATGAGGAGCGCTCTGCCTTGCTGCAGTTCAAGGGGAGCTTTATGATTGACACATCTGCTTCAAGTAATGACGGTGCTTATCCAAAGGTTTCATCATGGAAACCAGCAGGAGGAAATAGCAGCTGCTGCTTGTGGGACGGAGTGGAGTGTGACGAGATGACGGGGCATGTTATTGGCCTTAATCTCAGCAGCAGTTATCTCTACGGCTCTTTCAACTCCAATAGTAGTCTTTTCAGCCTGGTGCATCTTCAAAGGTTAAGCCTCTCTGACAATAACTTCAATTACTCTCAAATTCCATCTAGCATAAGAAATTTTCCAAGCCTAACTCATCTTGACCTCTCTGCCTCTGTCTTTTTTGGTCAAGTCCCATCTGAAGTCTCACACTTGTCCAAGTTGACATACCTTAATCTGTGTTGCAATATTCTTAAAAATGAAACATCTCCTGAGTATCCTCAGCGATTGTTGAAACTTCAACCATCCGATATGAGTAGTCTGGTTCAAAATTTAACTAGTCTAGAAACTCTTGATCTTAGTTTCATTAACATATCATCAATCATACCAGTTTCCTTGACAAATTTATCATTTTTAACACACCTTGCCCTCAAGAAATGTGATCTGTTTGGCGAATTCCCAGTGAAAATTTTTAGTCTACCGAACTTAGAAGTTCTTAATGTGAGATACAACCAAGATCTCACTGGATATTTGCCCGAATTTAATCGAAGTAGTCCTCTCATCTCACTGAAAGTTGGGTTTACTAGTTTTTTCGGAACCATACCTTCTTCGATTGAAAAGCTTAACTCATTGCAAGAGTTGGATGTCGCTCAATGCAATTTTTCAAAATCGTTGGTTCCTTCTGCACTTGGCAATCTTAGACAACTTACTTACCTAGACATTTCAAAAAGCAATTTTGGAGGTCCAATTCCTGATTCTTTGGCAAACCTTACCCAATTGACTGTGTTCAGAGTTAGTACGAGTTCTTTAACTGGTCCAATTCCGTCTTGGCTAGGTAACTTTAGCAAACTAGTTTACCTAGATTTTGCTTATAACCAGTTGATTGGTTCAATTCCGGCCTCATTTTCCAATCTCATCAATCTCGAGATCCTTTATCTACAGGGAAATAACCTGAGAGGTGTAGTGGAGTTTCAAATGTTTCAGAAGCAACAAAATCTCTACCAACTCCAATTGAGTTCGAACAACTTTGAATTTGTTACTGGATCAAATATTATGAATGCAACTGTTCAACAGTTCACCATTTTGGGTTTGAGTTCATGCAATTTAAAAGAGCTCCCACATTTCCTACAAAATCAAACAAATTTGGAGCGGTTGGATCTGGTAGACAACAAAATCAGTGGTGAAGTACCAAACTGGATGTGGAATTTAAGTAAGGAAACCCTGATATTCTTGGACATTTCGGCAAACTTCTTTTCAGGAGAACTTCCAGCTGTCATACCATGGGTTAAACTGCAATGCTTGAGGCTTTCGTTCAACAGTTTTCATGGACGATTACCGATCCCTCCACCATCCCTTCTAGAATATGGAGTGACCAACAACAAATTTACTGGAGAAATTTCACCGTTGCTTTGCAATATGAGTTCTCTTCTGTACCTTGACTTGTCGAAAAATAACTTGAGTGGCACGCTTCCTCTGTGTCTGGGAAACTTTAGTGATGATCTAGTCCTTTTACTTCTTGGAAGCAACTCTTTTCATGGCATGATGCTTCAACCATTCAACAACAGAAGCAGTTTGAGGATGATTGATGTTAGTCATAACCAATTGCAAGGGCAATTACCAAGGTCATTGGCGAATTGTGTGATGCTTGAGTATCTGGTTCTATCAAATAATCAATTCAGTGATGTTTTTCCCATTTGGTTGGGGACTCTCCCAGAGTTAAAACTTTTGGCAATGCGCCATAATCGCTTCAAAGGTGTAATAGAACAGTCTAGAACAATTGTTGACTTCCCCAAGTTATGCATTCTTGATTTGTCTTACAACAATTTCATAGGTGAGATTCCACCTTTGTTTTCAGATATTATTGTAAACAAGTCAACATACATGTACACAGATATATCCTATGACCTCAATGGTTTTTCTATTCTACGAAGTGTTGCTTACTCAATCACAATAGCAGTTAAAGGTTTGGATTTGTACTATTCAAAGATTCAAGAAGGCTTTGCAGCCATTGATATCTCAAGCAACAAATTTGAAGGTAAGATTCCAGAATTCATTGGGAACATTAAGGAGCTGCGCTCACTCAATATATCCAGAAACATTCTCACTGGTTCTATTCCATCATCCTTGGGGAACTTAAGAAATCTTGAATCGTTGGACCTTTCACAAAACAAGCTCTCAGGACAAATCCCCCAACAACTGACGAGGCTTACATTCCTTGGGTACTTTGATGTGTCCCACAACAATCTCATAGGTCCTATACCGCAAGGTACCCAACTTACTTCATTGAATAGGACTTCATATGAGGGAAACCCAGGATTGTGTGGAGATCCATTACCAAAATGCGGAAATCAAGAGGCCCCTCAACCGCCACCTTCTACTGAAGAAGACAGTGATTCAGGCTCAGCTCGAATGCTTGGATTTGATTTGATATTTTTTTCGGCTGGAATTGGAAGTGGGTTTGCAGTGGGAATGGTTCTCGCGGTTGTCGCCATCACAAGAAGGCAGGAGTTGTTTCTTAAGATCGTTGGAATGGTGAGGCTAATGATATGGAAAAGGTGGAGTTGCACAAGTATAGTGTGTTAGGTCATGCTCTAAACCAACCTTGCTCTGTCTTTCTAGTTGTACTTGTCGTTATGCTAATTAATGCAAATAAAGGTGTTAGAATGTTGCATGTTTTTCTGCATTTGAATTTTATGCATTCATAATGTTTGCAGTTTTCTGTATGCAATAAAATGATTTTAATCGTTAATTGAGCACAGAGTACACTGGATGAAATGAAATTGGGAAGAAAAAAAAAATTGAGGTTAGACCCATAAAATTCATTTTTAATCATCTATAACCCTTTTCTTTATTTTTTATATTTAAAATACTCATTTTTTTTTTCAAATAAAACCCGATGACTAGGATACAAATAAACAAGTTACCTAATCTAACTTAAAATATGAGTTATTATATTTTTGGATTCCAAAACTACCCCTATTTACAAGCTAACGTGTTATTTGGGGGTTGTAACTAATGACACGTTGAATTTGAAAAAATCTCCAAATAATTGTAATGGATGCATGAATTAATTTATAAACCTATTTGAAATTACATATTAAATTCAAAATTAACGTATTAGTAATCTATAGGTGGTTAACGTTTTGGTTTATTTAATTAAAAAATTATGCTGTTTTCCTTTTATGAATTATAAGTGACTAGTAATCTATTTTATTATAGTTTTATGTTGAAAAATAATTTGATAATCTATCTATTGTTTGTTTTATGATTTTTTTTTTTTAAATGAACCTATTTTTTCTCTAAATAATGTGCCCTTTTTTTCCCCTCTAAATTATGTACCTTTACTTGTTTTATGATAAAAACATTTTGATAATCTTTTTATTGTTTGTTTTATGAATTTTTTTTTATTTTTAAAAATGAACCTATTTGTTCTATTTATAGTTATTTATGTTTACTGTTCTTATGTTTACTGTTCCAAAACATATGTAGATTATTCTTTAACAATAAAAAATAATAAAAAATATGTTTTGTACCCAAAATACTATGTTTTGGCCCAAAATACTATTTTTGTACCTATTTGTTTTTTATGAACAATAAAAAATAGGTATGTTATTTATAGTTACAAAACATATGTAGATTATTCTTTATAAAAATAATAGGTACAAAAATAGGATATCCTTCATAAAAAATAGGTACATTAGTTTTTGCAGAAACGTGATAGGTATATTAAATGTTTATTCATAGATTCAATAGGCCCAAAACGTCACTTACTTAAACTTACTCTAAAACATTCCTAAATTTAAGCCAATTTAAAACAACCTTCGATTTTTAGTTTCCAATCAAATATAATCCTTTCCTATCATTAATAATATATCACCGTTTCATTTATAAAAAAAAAAACACCATTTGAATATTAATGACAATTGAATTGCATTAAGTATGTTCAAAGTATATATAGTCAGAATAATATCAATGGAGAAAACAACAATTGCAAAGACATTAATATTATAATCTTGAGTTTGATAAGGTAATTTCAGGCCCCAAAGTTGTGAATTCTTATCAGGCAATTTCATTTCTTCCTTACAATACAACACCCTAACTAACATAGTGCCATTCAACGAGAGATGTAGCAATCACCCTAACATAGAGCCATTCAATGAAGGCAGTAGCGATCACTTTCTAATTTTGTAATTGTATTTTTCTAGATAATAACCCCCTCTAGAGTTTTCTATTATCTACCTTATTTTTCTAGATGTGTGTCTCAACAGTTTCTATTTTCTTTCATCATGCGTAAACTGTTGAGACGTACATCTAGAAAAATAAAGAGGATCAAAGAGAACTCTTGAGACGGTCATCTAAAAAATTACAATTGCAAATTTAGAAAAATGGTAAGTCGCACATAGTACGTGATCGAAAATAGCTTCTCACACACGCGAAAGAGCGTACAGAAAGGCTAGTATTCATAATTAATGTTGCATGTGTTGTTGAAAGGAAATTGAAATTGAAACTTTCCAATGTCTCAAATACGAAATTTAATTAATGTTGCTGCTTCTAATTGCAAAAGGAAATACACAAGTACCGTCATCCACTCAAAAGTCAATGGCCAACTTTCTTTTTAGGTTCCTTTGCACTGTTTGGATTTATCTTTATACATAATTTGAGTTTGACAAATTGCTTTGCAGTTTTTTGGTCATGATGAAACTTTCTATGAGTGATCATCATTAGGTGGAAGTCTTTCCTCTACAAAAGAGTAGCCAAGCTATATAATATTTTGGCTTTAACTACTTTACCTTAGTTTTCGGATGAACTATTTCCTTTTTGGAGGAAATCCAATTTTAGTTCCTTTTTCCTGCTTTTGGCCATACATTTTAGTTCTAATGTAGGGACTTGAAATTCAAGTATTTAAAAATAGTTACTATGCGTCTCAAGTCATGCACATTCGAATCCCCCTCCCCATACAGATCACTTGTATTAGAAGAAAAAATCCAATACTAACCAACTCTCCATTGATATTCATAGATCAGATGATCAGACCAACATGAAGGAATCTTTTTTTGTGAGAATATAAAGGTGAAAATTTCAACATTTGACAGTTGAGAAATCTAACAAGAGCTTATAAAGAGTTGAATCACTCCTTCCATTGCCAATTGGTTTTGAGGTGGAACATCAGCTTCTTTAATGGTATTAGAGTAAGTTAGTTCATATGTGAAAGCCCAATGACCACACATGCTTCATGTCACCCAATATGTATTAAGCTTAAAAATTCGTCACATGTGCCGCGGGGGCTGGGGTGGTGTGAAAATGTCTCACATTGAAAAGTTAGGAAACATAATAAGGACTTATAAAAAGTTGAGCCACTCCCCCATTAACAACTAATTTTGAGATGTAACCTAAACTTCCTTCATTTTTGCTCATTTTCTAACTGCTGATCTAACCCGTTAACAAGTCTATGACTTTGACTTGGAAAAATTAACGTGTGGAAGGCAAGTTTATGACATTGACTTGGAAAAATTAACGTGGGGAAGGGTGCTTTTGTCCAGGGGCCCTTCTTTTTTTTTCTTGTCTGAATCCAGAAAAGTTAACGTGTGGAAGGCAAGTTTATGACTTTGACTTGGAAAAATTAACGTGGGGAAGGGTGCTTTTGTCCAGGGGCCCTTTAATTAAGTTCGTCTCTCTGTCTCTCTCCTCTAACCACCCCCCCCCACCCCCCCAAAAACCAAAAATCAAGCTCCTTTTCTATTTTCCTGGTTCAACGCTTATCTAATTTCTATGGCTGGTGAATTCTCAACAGGTAATTGAGAATGGGGAGAAAGCCACGACAATGAAACCGACCTCAAAAGTATTTTTATTTTAACTTCAATTTTGTGAGATGTAGGTTAAAACTATTGATTTACACTTTAGAATTCACAGGATTGAAATACGAAGACTTAAAATTTGATTACCTGAATTGAATGTCTAAAATGAAGCTTATATAGGTGCAAAAAGTGAAGGGCAATTCCTATTATTAATCTATGTTGATGACATGAATGCTAGATTGCAAACCTGTAGACGCTCCTATTGTTCAGAATCATCATTTTGGAGAGTACCCGGATCAAGTTCCAACTAACAAAGAAAAATACCAAAGGTTAGTGGGAAGATTGATCTATTTGTCACATACTCGACCAGACATTGCTTATGCGGTGAGCGTAGTCAGTCAATTTATGCATTCTCAAAGTGAAGACCACATGAACGCAGTTCTCCGAATACTTTAATATTTGAAGTTTGCACCTAGAAAAGGACTTATGTTTTCTAAACATGGTCATTTGAATATTGATGGTTATACATATGCAGATTGGGCAGGTAGTGTAACATATAGAAAATCCACATCTGGTTACTTTACAATCGTGGAAGGTAATTTGGTGACATGGAGGAACAAAAAACAGAAGGTAGTAGCTCTATTTAGTGCAGAAGCTGAGTTTAGAGGTATGACTAAAGGAATTTGCAAACTCCTTTGGCTACATAGGTTGCTTACTAATCTTGGGTATAGACCTACATCTGTAATGAATCTCTTTTGTGACAACAAGGCTGCAATAGCTATTGCACAAAATTCGGTTCAACATGATCCCACCAAACAGCATCCAGTTTGACATATTGAGGTGGATCGACACTTTAACAAACAGAAGCTCGAGACTAAAGTGATTCAGTTTTCTTTTGTAAAGTCCGAGGATCAACTGGCTGATATTTTGACTAAGGTAATATCCAGTAAAGCGTTCCACAATTCATTAGACTAGTTGGACATTAGCGATATCTACGAACTAACTTGAGGGGGAGTGTTGGCGTGACTTGTACGGATCCGCATTTACTTTCCTTACATGCCAAGTATTAATCATATATTAAATTCATTTACTTTAATTCATGATTTCCTACCGTAAATAGAATTATGAGTTATTACTTTCCTTGACCTACAAGGATTTATTTTATTATAAATATAACCTCCTACAAGGGGAAGAATATACAAAAAATTCCCACAAACAATATTCTCTCATAAGTTTCATATTTTAACACTTTCTTCTACCTTGGTCTGTGTCTTCTCATTTCTCCTATTTTGTTTCCTAAGTCCCGCTTGATTGAACATGATTAGTTTGACAGATTGAACAATCCATTTACTGTTTGACAATAACAAGAAAACTATCACAACACTACCCACGCAAAACTAATTCAAGTGCAACCAACAACACACTAGGTAGTATATTGAATGGAAAGGTGATGTCAAAAACCAAATGGCTGCCTTGTATTGTACTTAATTATGTCAGGAGATGTCGTCTTGGGTGTGTCGAAAACCAATAGCTAATACATATGTTCTTGACCTAAACAGAGGGCCGGGTAACATCCAGAGTGAATAGCAAAGGGCAAAGCACAGATGGCATGGCCCAGCGAGAGCGAGACATATGATATGATTAAGTGCGGTACTTATCTCTTAACATATTACTATTAGGTCATTGGAGGATGACTTGACTTCAAGTCAAATATGTTTGGAACTATATATGTAGTTTTGATGCATTACAAAGATCAAATA